CACAGTAAAGAGGAAAATCAGCTCTCCCAACTGAGTAGTGTCTTGACTCAAGGACTAGTTAAAGATTTCAATTTTCTCACTGATACCAGATTATTTACAACTAGCTAAGAGGTCTAGCTAAAAAATGCAGTATATTAAGATTTTTACGTGAACTCTCTTTTGACTTACAGATCAAATTCAGACTTTGTTTCATACATATTATTATTACCCTAACTTTACGTACAGATACGAAAAGCATAGGAGCTATGATCTCAGATGCCTTTGGAAAACACAATTCTCTTAATTGTATAGAAAATACAAAGTTCTCAGAGGCAAAAGAATGTCAGAAAATAGAATCAGTGAATACTTAGTTTAAATTAAAACTTTATAACCAGACATACCCAATTAACGCAGTTTTTCACTGAATGAAAAAATATATCAGGTTATTTTTCCTTCAGTTCATTCTCAGAAAGTGGAGAAGTGGGCAGTTCTTTATGGAGTCCTACAGTTTCAGATCACATGGGTTCTCATAAGAGATGCCAGTGTTTCTAATCATGACAGCGTTCGATGGAGGCTCTGGCTTCAGGCTATTCCTAGAGAAACCCAAATTCCTCCTGAAATCAATTATGCAGCTCTCTAAACCCTTGACTCAGCATTCTTTTGGAGCTTGCATTTATGACTGCAGAGTAAACCATACAGTTACCTTCTTCGAACTTAAGGCAAATGGACGCATCATCTGGTTTCAGTTATCAAATTACGATGCTTTTTCAAAAGCTTTAAATGACATGTCATTCAATAACCCCAAATTTGGAAATAAATATTTTAGGTGTAAAATGAGGCATTGAACAGAGGGAGAAGGGAGGGGAGAAGAAAAACTAGAGAATTATTGGTTCAAAAGAATGCAGTTGGCAGCTGTTTAATTCCACAGACATGCAGAATCAACAAGTCTATGTAGATTAAAATTAATAAAACATATTCAATAAAGATGAACAGAAACAAATCCAACATATTTCTGACTTTTCACCATCTACAGTCACACTGTTTGTTGGGCATCTTTCCAAGCAGATAACACCCTAATGCCTACAAATATTAATTTTAATATTTTAATTTTTTAATTTAGAATGTTTGGAGCCTTCCAATATTTTAAGTTGAGAACTCCTTTTATTGGAATACAGATTATCTCATAATTTACTTACATTTCAGCATCTATGTGCTGCCATTTGCTAAGCGAAAACTCATTTCAGACCTAGCAATTCTTCCATAATCCAGGCTTAATCTAAGAGAATGTTGCTCTGTTTCCAAAGACGGCACAGTTCTCTTCACCTGGGACAGTGTCAGCGGGCTAAGGTCAGCAGATGACACAAGGACCCAGCAGGGTGTCACTAACCCCGATCTTCTCTGCCCCCTCCAGCACTGGCACCCAGGCCTTGTGCCTTCGCAGGCTTGGTTTTATAATGGGAAATTCACAGGTTTGGTAAACGCGCGGTTTATGCGACAGTACAAAACGTCGGAGCTATTTTGCTTTTGTGCTTTTCCGGGTCCCTGGAGGGAGTCTGCTTTCCGGGTTCGCCGCAGTAGGAAATGGGGCCTTCCTCTGGGCTGGCAACTGCTCACTAAGGAATGCAAGGAGGGGCGTGTGTATCGTCCTTTGCGATCCTCCAACCTTGGCGAGGTTGGTTTTCCAGGGCTGGATAGTTTGTTAGGTGCCAAAAACCTGAGAATCCCAGGAGCCAGGAAAACAAAGCAAAAACTGCAGTTAGGGGTTAATTCTGTTGTTGTTCCCAGCTTTGCCAGCTGTGTACAGTGGTTTAGCGTGACTGGGCCTCGGTGCGCTCCCCACTGAGGCTGATCCTGGCCTAAGGAGTACCCCTAAAAGTCGGTCTGGTTCAGGGACAAGCTGGAAATAAGACTACAACAGAAGAGGGGAGGGGAGCAACTTGGTTTGGTTTGGGGTTCATTGTTTTTACCTTACTTTTTTCTAAGTTCGCTGGCCTCCTGGAGATCCACCTAGGGCGAGGATGTGAGGCAGAGGCCAGGACCTAGGAGAGAGGGAGAGCCTCGGGCACACAGGTAGAAACCCCTATGGTGCCTGGGACGCAGTGCGAGGAGATGGTGGCCGCTAAAGTCTGCAAGAGATGATGGAGCTGTGTTATTGTCCACGCCCTAGGAGAGTTTTCCAACTGTGCCATCATTCCAGGAAAACTAGCCTGAGCTTTTCCTTCCTCTAAGCAGGAAGCCCAGTGGAAACAGAAGGAACTCTTCCAGAATTCACTAGAATTCACCACAAGGTGGCACCAGACACCCGTGGACACAATGAGGTGTCGTTTCCCGGGCCCCCTCCCCGCCCCCCCCGGAGTGGGACCCGGAAGTGGGCGACTGGATCAGCTCAGGCCAAGCTCAAAGGAAACAGACCTGCATCCGCAGAAAAAAATCACACTGACCAAAGAAGAAAATAGGACAGACACTTTAAACCGATAGGGAGGAGTGGCAGACAGTGTAAACCAATAGAGAGGAGTGGCAGACAGTGTCTGCAATCCCCGTAAAAGAAGTTTGCCAGGGAGCCCCTTGGCAAGACAGGAAACAGGAAAGTGTGGAAAACGGGAGGTGGAGGGGATGAGAGGGTGTTGCAGGCCCACAGGTGAGCACAGGTGGTGTCTGGAGCAGGGCTTGGTGGTGGAGAAAAAGGCTTTTGTGTCTAATCTGTTTACATTTACTGGTATTTTTCATTGATAGAATAAATGAGCCAATAAGACTAACACAACTAAGAAGTAGAATGAATACACACTATCGTCTTCTCTTTTTAAATTGTACGTGTTATTCGGGGGTGGGGTTGCTATGCACACTCAGCTTGTGGAGGTCAGGGAACAATTTTATGAAGTTCATTCTCCCCTTCCACCTTTATGTGATTTCCGGGGATGGAACTCAGGTCCCCAGGCTTGCTGGGCAAGCGTCTTAACCACTAGGCCATCTCGCTGGCCTCAATTCATCTTGAGAATTCGTTTGTAAACTCTTGGGTACCATTGCGAGTGGATGGTCAGTACAGATTGTATCAATGGAGCCAGACATTTTTCTTCTTCGGGTCCTCACTGCCCACCTTTGGCCAATAGGAGCTCCTCTTAGACGACCTATGTATAATTTTGATTGAACCAACCATTAAAGCTTTGTTTTCTGACCCAACAAGGCATAAATGTTCTAGAATTACCTTGTACCTTTCAGTCCCAGTCTAGACAAAGAATTAGCCATTGTTCTAAGAAGACTTGACTTCTTTGAAGAAAAATTCTGGACATCAGTGTGTGTTGTGGGCATGAAAATTCTACCGACCCTTTCAGTGAGAAACAGTCAAAATGCTTTTTTTTTTTTTAAATCCAAGATTATCTGTCTATGAGTTTCATATTGTGTGGTTTAAAATGTCAGGTGGTAGAAAATACTTTCAACATTTTATACAGGCATGACTTCACAAGGCCCTTTTTGATTTGGTTATAGCCACACACTGTTTTTATGTAAACTTTGAGGTCTACATTTAGCCGTCTGTTTCACTAATCTTGAAAGCCAGGTTCCTATCAAAATAAACAACTATTTATTTGCTTTATCTGATAGCTTGGGAGAATAACTTTTTAAATGTACTATCAATAGAAACAGTACAAACACTGAATAGATTTTTAGGCTGCATACCCCTAAGGATTTGTTGCCCAGCTACTGTGCTCTAGAGTCACATATAACCTCTCACATGGTGTGGCTACACAGGGACAGTGTGGGCTTGGGCGTTTGCACTCATTTTCATTCTGAGATGGTTGCAACCTGCCCCATTTTCTGCTCTGTTTTTCCATAAGATTTATAAACTTATTATATAAAATAATATAGTAAATAATTCACTTAATACTTTATCAGTTTAATCACTCATATTTTCCCCTTCACCTTGAAATGTGAGCCCCATGGAGCAGGTAACTAACTGTTCCCTGAAGGAAGGCCTAGGAAATCCAGGTCTAGGGAAAGTTCTCAGTGAGCAAGGACCACAGGAGACCTCTTCACAGACACAGCAGAAGTCACGTTGGGCTGCTCCCAGACAGGACCTTCCTTCTCATCTCTTTCCCTAGTGTCGGGGACTTTGACAGGCTGTGGAGAGAAAGCAGCATTCACACTGAGCCTGCCCCTAGGCCTCATAACCAAGCACCTGGAAGGTTTGGGCTTCCAGAAAGCAAACCCTATGGCTGGAGCTGTGTGAGGCAGCTTCTGGTTTGCCCAGAATAGTTCTAGTTACCGCTGCTGTTCTGTGATAATTACTAAATACATTCTGTCCCCTCAAAGTGCCCTCCCTTAAAGGACCAGGTGACAGGTACCCTAGTTTCATTTCTGTTGCTGTGATAAAACACCCTGATAACAGCAACTTAAGGCTAGAGAGTTTTAGCTCACAATTCCAGGTTATAATCCATCATAGTAGGGAAGTGGAGGTGGCAGAAACTTAAAACAGCCAGTCACATTACATCTACAGTCAAGAGCAGAGAGAAACAAATGCATGCTAGATATCTCCACTTTAACACAGTCCAGGACCCAAACCCAAGGAATGGTGCCACCTACCGTGGGCTGGGTCTTCTACTTCAATTAATGAATCAAGACAATCTCCCACAGACACACCTAATCTACACAATCCCTCACTGAGGCTCTTTATAGGTGATTCTAGATTGTGTCAAGTTGACAATTAAAACTAACCACCACACAGGTAGAGGGGGAAGAGGAGGTTCCAGAAGAAAGGGTAGTCAGCTTGAGGAGGCAGTCCCTCCACCATCAGAAACAAGTTCAACTGGTGTGTGGTTGGGGTCCTGTGATAAACAAAAGCTGCAGACAGGAGGAGAGAGAAGATTTCTATGTAGCTAGGCCAGCAAAACCAGGTAGAATCCCCCTAGACACTGTGACAGAGCAACTTTATCTCTTGATTGTGGATGCAGGCAGGTGACAGAGACAAGGTCCCTGAGGTGAAGGGGTAGGAAAGGGGGATGAGCAAGGTTGGTGACCCACAATGGGATGCATTTTTTTATTTTTGCAAACAGAGCATGTTTCCATATCAGCTAATAAAAAATTAACACTTCATATAAGCGTCAACACACAAGTATACAAAAGGACACAATGACAGCGAGCTGGTCTCCGCAGTCCCACACCCCTGGGGAGAGCTGCCCTCTTTATCCTGGAGCACCTCAGGTGGAGACAGGGCAGCTGGCCTCTACTGTGAATAGGGAGGCACCTGGTTGGAACTGTTGGCTGGCCTGTCTGTTGGAGTAGCGGAAGTTGAGGTGGAGACAAGCCAAGCTCCAGGCTCAGAGCTGGGAAGGTAGTGGGCCTGGCTCTCCAAGGCCTCCTCCTCAGGAAGCTTCCTCCATCCATCCTTCCCTGGTACACCACCCTGGGGCGGACAGTTGTGGAAGAGGGGGTCCTGATGAGCATCTGAGAGGGCTGACAACCCGAGTGAACTGTCTTAACGAAGAATGCTCTTGGGATTTCCTGTGGACGGGGTCCCCCAATGGCACACTGGCCTGTGAGACTGTAACATCTACTGCGGCTGAGATTCTTGTGCTATCAGAAGCTGCCACCCAGGTAGGCAGCCCATGACCCAATACTCCCAGGGACATGCACAGAAGACTGAGAAATTCCTCTCCCTCCAGGGGCTACCTGGGGTGTCTCCCATCCTCTCTCAAAGGGGCCCTTTAAACCTCTCTCAAGGCTGCCGTTGTTATTAAAACCCTAAAAGCCACTTTTATCAGGAACCCAGAAAGTTTACCCAGGGCAACCTTGTTGTGTTTCTCCCTTGTGCATTTCTCAACTCCACAGGAGAAGGAACCTCTGCAGTCCCACACCCCTGGAGCAGGCTGCTCCTGAGCACTGTGATCATGTGCTGGTGACGTGGTTCTGTGTCAGTGTGATCATATCCTGTTGACAGAGCTGCACCGGTGTAATCACCTGCTGTGACCATGGTTGTGTCAGTGGGATCGCATGCTAGTGATCTAGTTCTACGTTTTCGTCACATCCTACGCATTTCACCTGCTGTCCTTGGTATGCCCGCCCTGCCACATTGATGGCGCTTCATGAACCCACAGAATCTCCAAATGTCCCATCCTCAGTGGGCTGTGGCCCTCCTCCACTTTTGCTTTGGCACAGGCTCTGGCTTGAAGTGAGATGGTGCTCCCCTTCCTCCTTTCCTCTTCAAGGTTTCTTCCAGGAAAGTGGAAGGTCCAAACCCATCAGTGTATTTTGTTTGATTTTGCTTTTTGGGTTTTCTTGTTGTTGTTGTTGTTTTGTTGTTTATTTGTTTTGAAATAGGGTTTCTCTAGCCCCAGCTGCACAGAACTTGTGATTCTCCTGCCGCAGGAAGACTCCAGGCCTGCTTCCAGCTCCAGGTGTACTCTTTGATCATCCTTATTACACATTTATACCCCACTGTCCAGAAGAGCTGAGCTGCCGTAGTGTATTGTGCCACTGGATTCTCCACAGCATTGCAGGTGCTAGTATGTAAATATAGAGACAGACAGACCACTCAACCATGTGTAGTCTATCCCCATTACAGAAAAGAAAGCTGGCGTGCAGAGGGATGGAGTTACTTCCCCTATGGTCACTCGGTGAGCACCTAGCAGCTCTGGGTCCTGAAGGTCACCTCTCCTGACCTCTGTGCCTCTGACCATCGCTACTAGACATGCACACAGCAGGCTCTTTTTACTTCTCGCCTTTAGTCCATAGAGGAAAACAGAAACACAGCCTTTCCAGTCCTGAGTCCTGCAGACCAGGGTGTCACTCCACAGGGCTCTTCTGTGAGATCCAGGCCTGGAAGAATTGCTCTGAGGACAGCACCGCCACATCACAGGCATCCATCTCCTCCTTTCTGCAGGCAATTAGCTTCTGGGATGAACTGGGTATTTTCTGAAAATGCATTTTCATAAAAATCACTAGATGTGACCGAAGAGATGGTAGGAGCAAAAGAATAGCACAAACCCCAACTATTTGGTTGACGTTTTTGTATGTGGTGTGCATGCATGCATGTGTGTGGGATAAATGTTTGCATGTGTGGGGTGCATGTGTACATGTATACAGGCCGGAGGTTGACATCAGGAGTCTTCCTGATCACCCACCAAACATTTATGTAGGTCCTTAGGCTTACTGTTAGTGTGGCAAGCACTTTAACCACTGAGCCATTTCCCTAACCCTAATTACCTTTTAAGCAGCAGCCCCTACCCCCAGACAACCCAATCCCTTCCATCATCTGTTGAATCTTCTCCTGGCCTGCTGTCCAGCAATTCTTGAAGGGCCTTACTAGGCCACTGCTCCTTCTATGAGAACCAGCCCACAAAAACCCATATGCAATTCTGCAGAGAAATTACCTTCTGGCACTAGAGAGATCTAAGAATGACCTGGTCTGAGAGGCTTTATAAACAGCAGCTAGCCCAGCACCCAGTCCAGAGAGGGTACTCACAAATGCAGGCTCTTTCCTGCTCAGTTTCCTATCCCTGCTGTTTCTCTCTGAACCCTGAAAGCATGACCGTACCTGGTTCTAAACACACAGACAGCAACTTTGCAGAGGGACTCCATCACTAGCCTGCTGCTACGGTCTGAATATGAACTGTCCCCTGTTGGCTCATGTACTGGTTTGCCAGCTGATAGGCTTTGGGGAAATGATTAGATCCTGAGGGCTCTGACAGATCAACAAACTAATCACTTGTTGAGTTCACAATATGACAGCATTATTGAAGGTGGTGAAAAGTAAGAGGTAGGGCTTCACTGAAGGAAGCTGGTTACTGGGAACTTGGCCTGGGAAGATGTTTCCTGTCCCCTGTCCCTCTCTCTGATTCCTGGCCACCATGAAGTAAGAATCTCCATTGCATCACACCTTTCTGCCATGATGTCATGCCTCACCACAGTTCCACAAATAATGGAGTCAGCAATCATGGACTAACACTTCTGACCATGAACCAAAACAAATCCCTCCTCTTTTAAATTGTTTTCTTGGGTATTTTGTCATAACAACAAAAGTCAAACTAACACACCTGCTCATCTCCACCGAATGTTCTTGGTCTTTGACAGTTTCCTCCCGCAGCCCCTCAGTCATCACTCCCAAGGGAACAGCACATGGGCACAATGATCTAGTCCCCCTCCGTCCCCAAGAACACCTTAGCATCATCCAGCTCGTCATCACTGGCCATCGTTTATAATGAGTTGGGCACTCATTCTTATGTCCATGGGCAAATACCAGCAAGATGAGACAATGCCCATGCAGGGCTCCCTCAGGAATAGTGTTAATGTGCAGCCCACTATCAATCCACTGCCATTCACTGATCAGATTCTAGGGGTACTTCTTAAGTCTGCTTGGCTATTTTCAGATTCCAGAGCAACACTGTCCAATAGAAACATAATGGAAGCCAAATATACTACTTTTAAAAATCTAGTAGCACACTTGTAAAAGTAAAATGAAAGGTGGAATTAATTGTAATATTATAACTTAGTTAACAAATACATCAAAACAGTCATTTTAGGGGGCTGGAGAGATGGCTCAGAGGTTAAGAGCACTTGTTGCTCTTGCAGAGGACCCAGCTTCAATTCCCAACATCCACATGGTGGCTAACAACCATCCATAACTCTGGTTTTAGGTCAGACGCCCTCTTCTGGCCTCCTCTGGCATTGCATGATACGGGGGCACTTACATGCAGGCAAAACACTCATACACATAAAATAAAAAGAAATGAATAACTTTTTAAAAGGTCATTTTAACATGTGATCAAAATTGCTGAAATAATGTGGGGCATGGTGGCACATTTCTTTAAGCCCAGCACTCAGGAGGCAGAGGCAGGTAGGTCTCTGCGAGATCAAGGCCAGCATGGGATGGTCTACATAGCATCCAAGCCAATTGGGGCATGGCGGCACACGCCTTTAATCCCGGCACTTGGGAGGCAGGCAGATCTTTGTGAGTTCGAGGCCAGCCTAGTCTACATAGTGAATTCCAGGGCAGCTGGGGCTACAGGGAGACCCTGGCTTAAAAAAGACAAAAAAAATAATAATAATGTTTTTGTGCTGTCTTCAAAATCTATTATGCAATTTATATTTCTAACACATCTTAATTCTGTCTAGCTAACACTGCACATGTTTAATAGTCCCTCGTGGCTAGTAGTCACTGTACTAGTCAGCACAATTTTTGAACATTAAAGTTAAACAGCATAATGTCAACAGTTTAAAAGGTTCAATACCCAAGAAAACAATTTAAATGAGGAGGGATTTGTTTTGGTTCGTGGTTTAAAAAGCTTTTCAGGTCAGAGCTAACTTTCAAGCAAGACTCAATTAAAAATTTTTAAGCCTTAATTCATTTCCAACATTTAAAAATCAAGAGATTTATCATAAATATCTGAATTTCTCAAATCTCTCAGTTTCTTTTTTGCTTTGTTTGTTGGTTTCAAACAAATTCTCATGTAGCCCAGGCTGGCCTCAAACTTCCTATGTAGTCAAGGCTGACTGGCCTTGAACTTCTGATCCTCCTGCCTGCATTTCCTGAGCGCCATGTATGTCTTATTTGAAATGCGGCTCTCTGGCAGCGCTGGCTCACATGCCCTCATGAGAGCAGCTATAGGAGCTGAGTAGCCACAGTCTTTGGGTGGAGTCTGCCCCGGCACTACCTCTTCCTTCAGAGCAGCATTCACTGCACCGAATACTTCTCTCTCCCTGTACCTATCAGCTCCTAGGGGCACCTGAGCTCACAAATGCCACTCTCTGTGAAGTCCTCAGGTACAGTCCATTACTAACCTGAGGCCATCTCCAGGCCACATTCTTATAGAGGCCTGTGCACGCACACACCTGCAAACACATGTGCACATCCAAACACAAGAACACTCACATGTACACATGTATACCTCTTGAATACAACGTGCTGTTTGCAATATTCAGAACATGATAAAATCATTAGCTACATACACAAAAACAGTCAAATGTGACCCATTTAAAATAAAAGACTGGAGAGATGGCTCAGTGGTTAAGAGCACTGGCCACTCTAGCAGAGGACTGGGTGTAATTCTCAGCACCCACATAGTGGCTAACAACCATCTGTAACTCCAGTTCCAGGGTAACTGACGCCCTCTTCTGACCTCTGAGGGCACTGCACGACACAGGTGGACCTACCTACATGCAAGCAATACACTGATACACATAAAATAAAAATAATAAATAAAATAATTTAAAAACTAAAAAGCAATCATCAGGAACCAGCTCTGAGATGGACCACTTGGTGAAATGGCAAAAAAAATTAAAGCATAAAGACATTATAACTATGTTCAAGGTCAGAGAGGAAAGTATCTCATAAAAAAAGATCAAATAATGAGCAGAGAATATTTGCAATAAAAAATCAAGTCAAAATTCTATAATAAAAAGCATGTGCCTCTTAAAAACAAAACTCATGCTAGGCGTGGTGGTACACACTTTTAATCCCAGCACAGGAGAGGCAAAGGCAGGTGGATCTTTGTGAGATCAAGGCCAGCCTGGTCTACATGGCTAGTTCTAGGCCTGCTAGGGCTACAGGGAGAGCTTGCTTAAAAAAAAACAAAAAAGAGAGAGAAGGGTTGTTTTTAAGTAAAAATGAATCCAGAGGGACAATAGCTAAAGGTCTGGAGTTATAGAAGGAGAAAAGCCAATGGGACGGGAAATATACTGGCAGAAATATGGCTCAAATTTTCCAAGATATGTCCAAAAAATAAAAGTTTACAGTTTCAAGAAACTCATAGACTAAAAGAAAGATAAATATAAAGTAAATCATACAGGCATATTACAGTTAAACTTCTAGAAACCAGTGGTAATTTGAAAGTAGCAAGAAAAAGGGGAATTATTATAGAAGAGAACAATATTTAAAACTATGATTATCATTTCATCAGAAATGACAGAGGCCAGAAAACTAGACAAAAGTTTTAAGGTAGTAAGAAATAATTGTCAACTAAGAATTCAGCAGAAAGTATCCTCCAAGAATGAAGGCAAAGGAAAAGCATTTTCAGACACGAGAAATCCAAGAGAATTAGCCATCAGCTCTTGGCACAGGGCTCTGCATTAGCAATCCTGGGAAGTTCCTCAGACAGAAGGAATGGCATACCAAATGGAAATGCCGCTCCCAGGAAAGGAGAATGAGTGTCAGGAATGGTGGGTGAATGTCTTTTTAAAATCTATGATTATTTGGGGCTGGGGATATTGCTCAGCAGAAGCGGGCTTGCCTGACATGCATGAGGCCTAGGTTCAATGCCCAGCACTGAAAAAAATAAGACATTTTACAAAGACATTATTGCAAGCTCTTACATTTCACATGGAGTGATATAATTTTAACTTTAAAGAGACTATGAAAAGTTAAGGACATGTAGAACTGCCATGAAAAAACTTTAAAGAATAACCATAAAATAAATGGATAAAAGAAGAACTCTAAAAGTTTTAACTTGGGGCTGGAGATACGGCTTGGTTAGTTGACTGCTTGCCTAGCAGGTATGGCAGCCCTGGATTTGACCCCCCAGTGCCATATAAAACTGAGCATAGGGCATATGCCTGTTGTGCCAGCATTTGAGATCATCAGTGGAGGATCAGCAGCAGTTCAACGTCATCTTTGGCTACATAGTGAATTCAAGGCCAGCCTCAAAAAATACAGTAAAGGACCTGGAGAGATGGCTCAGCAGTTAAGAGCACTGGCTGCTCTTGCAGAAGGCCTGGGTTCAGATCCCAGCACCCACATGGCAGCTAACAACTATCTGTAACTCCAGTTCCAGGTGATCCAACACCCTCTTCTGGCCTCTGTGGGCATTGCAGGACATGGGTGCATTCACATGCATGTAGGCAATACATTCATGCACATAAAATAAGAAGAATAAAGATTTCAAAAATAGGAAAACAAAAATTATATATGCATATTACTT